CCTCAGCAAGCTGCGCGTGTTTGATCAGACAGCGTCTTCGACAGTGCGGTGCCTGACCCCTGCTGCCAACCCACTATCACGAGGTAGGGGCACGCTGCAGCCACCATTCTGATACACACACAAGTAACAGTTAATTCAGACCTTATAAATACAAGATTTCACATTAACATACCCATAGCAATGAAGAACTGAGAAGGTTGTAATAGATTATTTGAGGCATCTGTAAAGCAGCACGCAAACGGGCCTATATCAGATTAAAAGTTCTAATTTATCTATTGTTGTGAAGGAAGCAAAACAAATGTGCAGTGGAAAATGTTTTGCTTTATTTTCTATCTTCTCTTCTTCCAGGAGTGCGTTGTTCCCGTGACTACCCTGCTGCAGGAGGCAGCACCAGCCACCGGCGAGGCCGCGGAGGAAAGAGACTCAAGCACCAGGAGTCATCTGACCAGCACAGCTCCCTGGGAATGAGCGGGAACCGACAAGACCCCAGAACCAGCACCGCCCCTATGCCCCTTCACATGCCCCTTCACATGCCACATGGACCCCTGACAAACTCCTCGTCCTGGCCCTCTGTAGGTTCCCAGGCCAGCATTCCCTCCGCACCTTTCGCTCCTGGTATGCTTCCAATCTACCCAGTTTACCCTCCGCTTGCTCAGCCACTACCCATCCCAGACCCGTCACGGTTCCCCCCGACCCAGATGGTTCCTCCCATGATGGCGCTCGTTCTTCCCAACTACATGTTCCCCCAGATGGGAGCGCCCATACCTCAGCCAGGTGCCACCCCCGGACACTTCTACAATCCTAACTTCACATACCCCAGTGCCCCCCCAACCATTGACCCAGCTGCCATCCCCACTCTCATCTCCAACCCCGTGCCCATTACCGGCAACTGCGCCCCGTCTCGTAGCAGCACGCCACAGTCCTACAGTCAGATGCCAGCTGAACGTGAGGGCGCAGAGTCCCCCCTCTTCCAGTCCCGATGCTCCTCCCCCCTCAACTTGTTGCAGCTGGAGGAGTCGCCAAGCAACCGGTTAGAGGTTGCAACAGCCCTGGTGGCATCACAGCAAGCCACGCCCTCTGCGCAGGGCTGTGCTGCTGGGGGACCGAGCTCAGCCAATCAGAGGAGCTCTGATGAAACCTCCAAGGAGAATGTAAGTACAACAGATGTTCAGGATAACTTATATTTTTCTTATTTCTTGAAAGATTATAAAAATTTACACACTTTTTTTTTTACACGTATTTTTTCATCAGGGTGAAACTAATGAGTCGAACCAGGATGCAATGTCCACCTCCAGCGACCTGCTGGACCTCCTGCTGCAGGAGGATTCCCGCTCAGGCACTGGCTCAGCTGCTTCTGGTTCAGGGTTCTCTGGAACCAGGTCCTCGGGTTCAGGCTCCGGCTCCAATGGATGCAGTTCCTCTGGCACCAGCGGCACCAGTAAGTAGAGATATTTGACCACATCAAGCTTTTTAGTCAAAAATGAAACTGAAATAATGAGTGAATTTTTTAGGTTAAGGGTTTAGATATGGTATTTATTTCAAATAAAGTAGAGTTTGTACACGGATGCAGTTTTTTATCGGAATTCTTGTATCGATAGGAAACTCAGCAAAATGAATGGCAACGACGATTCGTGATTAATCAACTTTTAAACCTCCTCGTCTATGCAGGCAGCAGTCAGGGCAGCCACACCAGCAAGTACTTCGGCAGCATCGACTCATCAGAGAACGACCACTCCCGCAAACAGCCAGCAGGGGGCAGCAGCAGCGGCGGCGGAGATGGAGGCGAGGAGCAGTTTATCAAGTGTGTCCTCCAGGACCCCATCTGGCTCCTGATGGCCAACACCGACGACAAGGTCATGATGACGTATCAGCTGCCAGTCAGGTAAGACAAGAAGGTCTCTCATTAGAGCGCATACCTCGGTCAATTCCCATTTACATTCAAGCTGCACCAAATAACACTCACTCATAGATACCAGTCCTTTTAAGATGCCATTTTTTTCAAATCAAGATCCATGAATTATTCCCTGGGAAATTAAAATGGCCTCAAAAGCAACTCACATCTCACAATGTCAAATTAACAGAATGGCCACAGAAGACAGCAGGTTTATAGTGAACATGTATTTTTTCTCGTTGTGTAACAGGGACATGGAAACAGTGCTGCGAGAGGACCGCGAGGCCTTGAGGAGCATGCAGAAACATCAGCCACGGTTCACAGAGGAGCATAAGAGGGAGCTGAGCCAGGTCCATCCCTGGATCCGAACAGGACGCCTGCCGAGAGCCATCAACATCTCTGTGAGTCGCCTGCAGCTCAACCACGAGCCATTAAAAGTGTTTTTTATGAACTAGAATGGCAAAGAGCACATAGCACATACAGTCCCTTTATGAAACCACACTTAAATTCAGATTTTATGCACACACTCATAAAAAAAAATCAAGACCCATGAATATTTTCTTTCAGCAAATGTTTAAAATAAACGCAGACCGAACCATAACCTCCTTTGTTTAATTACCTCGGCCATGAAACACAGACTAGAAGTAACCATCCTCTCTGGTTTTTAGGGCTGCACAGGCTGCAAGTCCCCCCCCACCGTGCCACCGGCCGCTCCGTTCGACGTGGAGATCCACGAGATGGAGCTGTGCAGTGCACTGAAGACTCAGGTGGACAGCGTCGGAAAGGGCAAGAAACTCCTCTCAGAGACCCCTATGGATGAGACTCACCCTGAGGACGAAGAAGAGGAGAAAGGAACCAAAGACGGCAACCAAGACATGACGGCAGAGGAGCAGACAGCAAGCTCACGGGCTGCAGAGGTTCAGGCTCAGGTGGAATCTGCCATGAGCCACTGAGTTGGTGGCCAAAGATAAAGAAACGGCATCACGACGTTTAGATGTTGAAATGCAGGAAATGTGCACCTTCGAGGAGTGATGCCTGTGACATCGTTACACAGGATGTAAGGTGTTCAAACGGGCTCTTCCGGGACATCAAGGTTTACGGTTTGATGAATCACTTGGAAGATCTCACCCTCTGAAGACAGAACGTGAAACACTCAGCTTCAAAGAGCGAACCAGGACTTTTCTGTTCTCTCTCTCTCGGCTGTTCTCGTTGTTCTTAGAGTATTTATTTAAGTTGTAAAATAATGGACTGAGGTGAATGTGTTACAAAAAAAAAAACGCATTAACGTAAAAAGATGGATGTGCTTCACCACAGTGTCCGCCATGTTTTTATCTTTCCTTTTCAAGGTTCAGCTCACGAGGGGGGAAAAAGGGAGTTCACATGAATTGCAGAATGTTTCCAAGGTTGTCTGGGATCCTGCTCCCTCTTAAATCCTGATTGTTTTCTAATGTTAAATCTTTGCCCCGATTAAAGTAGCATCGACTTTCATCCAATACAGTAAATGTACAGTAAGAAGCAGGTTATTTTGTAAACACTGTGTATATTTTTATACTTTCAGGAGAGGATGCTTTGTCTGTACTATATGAATTATAAGGAAATGCAGAGACGTTTCTTTTCTCCCCTGTGACACTACAATCTAATGCGAAGTACGTTAATCGTGGAAGCAGTATGGCAATCGACAGGAGGCGGACCTGGACTGAGCTTTCTCCTCAGCAGGGCATTAGAATGTGCATTTGTGCGGCCGCTCAGCAACTGAGAAATGAACAATCGCCTCCCTGAGATAACGATTCCCTCACGGACATCACAGACGGTTTTTCCCCACGCACACTCACACACTGCCAGCGCCCAGAGGAGCTGTGGAACCTTCAGCGGAGGAAGAGCTTTTGTGTCGCCAGAGCTCACTCGTGGTGGATTTTGAAAGAGGCGGACAATAACTTTAAAAGGTCTTCTGAGTTCGGACAGTGTTTGCTCTCTCTCTCTATCCCTCTCTCCTCCTCTCTGTGGCACTGTTCTGGTCGTGTGATATCCCCTGCTTGTCGTCAGTGGTGTCTGCGACAGTTTAATATTTTTGTGAAATTCTTTTAACAATAAAATTGACTCTTTAAATGTAAAATCTTGGTTTGTTTTTTATTTATTCGTCCAGGGCGGTCAGTTCTTTTTCTGATTTCATGTCTTTGCAGTGTATTTTAGTTGGCGGGAGTTCAGCAGCAGTTGGCGTGGATACTGAGAAGTGTCCAGAGTGAACTGGAAGCAGAGAGCAGATCAGGGCAGCTGCTTTCCTCACACAACCACAGCCTCCTTCTCTGCAGCTGCGGTTTTTACCCAGAGTGGTCACCGCAGCCTAAAAAAGACAACGGTATGCCCTTGTCGAGGCAAAGTGACTTCATTGACTTCTCTGCACTTTATCATTATAACGATGATGAAAACGTCATGTCTTTGCCAAAGCTCATGATAATCAGTGCTTATTTAAAGTTGCATTACATGTATCGAAATCTTATTTTTTCCGGAGCAAAGGTTCCAAAAGTATATTTTACCCATAGACTGTGTATAAAGAGATTTTACATTATCCATGCATTTTATTTTAAAGAGCCGTGTCAGGCCTCTGTTCACCTTGTGCTCCAATAAAGTAAATTATGAACATGTGCACAAGTAGATTTTAAAAACTAGCTCCGTGAGGTTGTACTCTAAGAGTTGCAGTTAGGAAATGGTATTTAAATAAAAAAGCTTTTAAATAAATAACAGCTCAAAATAGAGTTGGGGATGAAGAACATTTACTACAAGCAGCAACAGTTAAATTCAGACAAACTGAGTAAGCTGCAGCTACAGGAGGTAAAACGATGTTACCGAACTGTGATGAATCAAGAAACTATAATTAAAATTATAAGAATTACCTACATTTTAAGCAGAGCAGCCCCCCCGTCCCCTCAATATCACATTCATCCACCTTTTCCTTTCTTCTCCTCCCTTCCATAACACATCCCCTCACCCATCACATCCACTTCCCTCCTCCCTTGCATTTCTCCACGCCTCTACTTTGCTTCTACCCCTCCTTCACCCTCCTCCATCTCTTCTCCTCTGCCTTCTTTCTTAAACCCGGGAGGACAGCAGGATGGAGGACAGGGTGTGGAGTGTGTGGCTTCTTGTTGCTTTGACGCTGGGATGGACGGATGCTCAGGGTCAGGACAACTCAACCAGGTAAGTCTGTGTCTGTGTGTGTGTGTGTGTGT